TTGGGATTACAGAAGGAAGATATGTAGGGGAGAGAGAGATTGATGCATCTCTAATTCAACCAGGTGATATCTTAAAAGTTCTTCCTGGCTCGAAGATTCCATCTGATGGCATAGTAGTTTGGGGTACAAGCCATGCCAACGAAAGTATGGTCACCGGTGAATCTTTACCAGTATCAAAGGAAGTGTCCTCTGCTGTTATTGGAGGTACAATGAACTTGCATGGTGCCCTTCATATTCGAGCCACAAGAGTGGGATCTAGCACAGTCCTTAGTCAAATCATATCTTTGGTGGAGACTGCCCAGATGTCCAAAGCTCCAATTCAGAAATTTGCAGACTACGTAAGTAACTTTAGTGATCTTTGGTTCATGATTTGTTAAGGTTTTTGGCTGCATTTATTCTGCTTTATTATCTTGTTTTTGTCTTTAGCGGCACCTTCAAGCAGCTTATTGGTATTGGTAATAGTTTTGCTGGATATACTTTTGTTTTTCTTTTTTTGTTGTTCCTTATCTCTTTCTTTTTGTGTTTTCAAAGAGTACTTATTATTTCTGTGTTGGAATTTTTTTGAGAAATACTGGAACCAACAACTGTTTCCATCTGCATTACATAGTGTCAACATTTGTGAAATGGAAAAAAATTGTCTGGAAGCAGCTATCTGTTGATTTGATATTGTAATGATGTTTGATATAGATGAACTGTCTGTTCCTGGGTAAGCTGGTCGCTGTCCTGCATAAGTTTTATTAATTAACATCTTGTTTGTGGCAATAACATTATAAAGAGACTCAAGCAAAAAACTCAATAATTAGAGACTTCATTTCGTAACTGTACACTGGAGTCATAACCGGAACTGAAAAGCTTTTCCATTAGGATTGGTTTACTGTGTAGTTGTTAAGAAGCTTGACCATTGGTTGTGACTGTCTTTCTATCTCGATTAAGTCAACCATTTATGGATGCTTGAACAAAATATTATTTTAGGAGAGATTCTTCGTAGGACAATTGACACAGAATATCCATCTAAACAAAGAAAAGATCACCAGGACTGATGTAAACGCTAAAGAAACTCATCACATTACTGGATCTGTCAAAATAATCATGAATCTTACAATCAAAGGTTGAACTCTAGAAGTTTGCATCTAAAAATGGTTCTACTAGTAGTCCTTATCTTATTGAAATGGAGTTTTTCAGTAAAATGTAGACAGAGGAGGCTTAGCTGGACTTTTGGAGTTCTCTTTGGCTAAGTTTCATGAATTAGATGCCTGTTTTTCGTTAACATAAAACTTAAAGCAAATGAACTTGTTACACACGTAATCATAAGCCATCTTGATTGAGAGTAATTTTAACGCATAGTCATCATCCATTCTCTAAACAGCTTAGTGAACAAGCATGGAGCTCTTCGGAACACTGACTTTATATTGTACTTTTCTTCCGAATGTTATTTATGCTGTCTCGAGTGCAATGGACATATCGTTTAGCAATCTTCACTTTTTTGTGTGACCAAGTTGTGTGAGGATTCTATTTTATGTTCCGTTATTCTTGTCTTTTATATGCTTTCTTCTGACTGAATTATCTTGATCTACGATAGACACTAAATAGTTTTTGATTCACTACAAGCTATTTATGCAAATTGCAGGTTGCCGGTATATTTGTTCCCATTGTTATCACATTGTCCTTGTTGACATTCCTTGGATGGTAAGGTCACAATCATGCTCAAAGTATGCTTTATAAACAGCTAAATTTGGTGGTCAATCTTCTATATGTCCTATATAGGTTTTTCTGTGGTATGCTGGGAGCATATCCTGATTCATGGGTCAAGGAAAGTAGCAATTGTTTTGTCTTCGCGCTCATGTTCTCAATATCAGTTGTGGTGATTGCCTGCCCCTGCGCTCTTGGTCTGGCAACTCCAACAGCTGTCATGGTAGCTACTGGAATGGGTGCTTCTCATGGAGTCCTAATTAAAGGAGGAGATGCATTGGAGAAAGCACAGACTGTTCAATATGTGGTCTTCGACAAAACAGGCACCCTTACTCAAGGCAAAGCTGCTGTTTCAACAGCAAAAGTTTTTGCAGAAATGGGTCTTGGGGATTTTCTGACTTTAGTTGCATCTGCCGAGGTGAAATGAAGAATCTGCTTACATATGAGATTAGCATGTTTCATTGTGTCACCTAATAGTCATAACAACAATAACTTTTCCTCCTTTTGATGTGGTTCAGGCTAGCAGTGAGCACCCTCTTGCTAGGGCAGTTGTAGATTATGCACACCATTATCATTTCTTTGATGAGCTTCCTACAGTCAAAGGTGCTACAAAACAAATCAGAGAGGACATCTTATCAGAATGGCTTCTAGAAGCCATCAACTTTTCCGCTTTGCCTGGGAGAGGTGTGCAGTGCCTGATCAATGGGAAAAGGGTTCTGGTGAGTTAGTCAATAGGTTGTTGCTCTCTCCCCCAGTCCCTCTGTATGAAAATTGATGGCTTACACATTATTAACAGGTTGGCAACCGGGCTCTGTTGGCTGAAAATGGGGTTATTGTCACCAAGGAAGCTGAAGATTTCTTGATAGACTTGGAAGTAAATGCTAAAACAGGTGTACTTGTGGCTTATGATGGTACCTTCATTGGACTTCTGGGGATCGCTGATCCCATGAAAAGAGAAGCAGCAGTCGTTATAGAAGGCCTAAAAAAGATGGGTATTCAACCAGTTATGGTAACCGGGGATAATTGGAGGACTGCCCAAGCTGTTGCAAAGGAGGTTGGTTTTTGTAGTGTCTCGCACTTGATTGACTACAAAAATAGAAGGTTTTCATGCATATGATAGTGCATTATGACTACTTTGAGAAATTCCATTCTATCTCAATATTTGTTTACAAACCCGGAGAACATCCTAAATAGATTAGGTTATTCTTCAAAATAAACTAAAAAGGAGAATTTTTTTTTTCCCCTATTGATTTTGTCTGCAATATGTATTTTGTCTCCGGTTTTTGTCATTGGCATCACCGTGTCATGACCAATTCAGTGAAATTGGTCAATCCCACATAAACTTCCAATTAGTGGAATTTATCAGTGGTCCTGTCTCCATCCTTTAGTGATAAAATTTTCATATTGAAACTTTATTTATCTTTGAAGAGTATAAAATAGTTTTTTTTTCAAAAATTTACATCATGTCAAGGATAAACCATACTTTTGTGAGCCTTTGGTTCTATTTCACGTTCAAGTGTTCAATCTCATTGACATCGCATGAGTTATTCCATTTCCGTATGAGCTTAACTTGGGTATTTCCTTCCTCCTTTTGGATAGTGTTTGTTTGCATACATTTACATTTGTTATCGAAGTGTACCAGGTTAGGATTTACCAACTTTTGTAAAGTTAAACAACTTACACTAGGCAAAACTAATCGAACAGAAATGATTTACGTTTCTCACAGATTGGAATTGAGGATGTGAGAGCTGAGGTGATGCCAGCAGGAAAAGCTGAGGTCATTCGCTCACTCCAAAAGGATGGAAGCATGGTTGCCATGGTTGGTGATGGCATAAACGACTCCCCTGCTCTGGCGGCTGCTGATGTCGGGATGGCAATCGGTGCCGGAACAGATATCGCCATTGAAGCTGCAGACTATGTCCTAGTGAGAAACAGCCTTGAGGATGTGATCACAGCTATTGACCTCTCAAGGAAGACCTTCGCACGAATCCGCTGGAACTACTTCTTTGCAATGGCTTACAATGTCGTAGCAATACCTATTGCAGCTGGTGTCCTTTTCCCCGTCACGGGGCTTAGGATGCCTCCATGGCTGGCTGGCGCTTGCATGGCTTTGTCATCGGTGAGTGTAGTCTGCTCCTCTTTGCTTCTGAGAAGGTACAGAAAACCTAGGCTTACCACAATATTGCAACTAACTGTTGAATGATTCCATAAATGCCCATTACAATTTATCACAAAAGAAAACATAGCTCAAAGTTTTTCCAATGTATACTCTAACTTCAATCTGAGGTTGTGCAATCTTGCAACCATTTACTGTTCTTTTGTTTATGGGGGGTCAAAATGGTTAGAGAAAGTGAAAAAAAAAAAAGACTCTCTTATACATCATACAAATTTGTAAACCAAGATGTATTTGACTCTTCCTACTCTGGATATTCAAGTTAGATTCCTCGAGTAGAGGTGATTTGACCTCATATAGTTCTCAATATTTAGCTGTGTTCTTCTTTCACAATGTATCAAACTCACAGGACTTGGATCATGTTTAAACAGATTTACCCTGCAAGAAGCAGTATATGATGAGATGATGCTTTCCCCAATCATAAACAACATTAATCTTGTGGAGATTTGACTGGTAAATTTTCTTTCTTTATTTTTACAAAGAATAAATATTGCAGATGGAATCAGATCTTCTTCTTTGCAAAGGATATGCAGTGTTTAATCAATGCTGCCTCTCATCCTTACAAGTCACATAATTTTTTTTTAATCAGAATTTTTAAATAATTTATTTTTATTATATTAAATGATACATAAGATATTTTCGTTTTGATTCGAACATAAACCTATCAATTATAAGTATTGTGTCAAAAAAGATATATATTGGAGTTAAGTCCATTAACTCTTCTCGTTTCCTTGATATTTATAAGATTCCAAAGAACTCCATTGACATTATGGAAGAACTGATGTTATCGGGTTAATGGATCCGAAACGGCTCCAGTGGATCCGAACGAGAGTAAAACCGGCCCAACATGGCGATGCAAAGCATTTGAATCCGGAGACGACGACCAAGATTCATAACAAACCACCCCTCAATGCGCCTATAATTTACCCGCACTGCCATCCAAACTCCAAACCGTGGTACCGACCCCCACTGCTTTTTTGGACCACCGGACCGATGAGATCTGTCCACGTGTATACATGGGGTCCACGTAGACACGCCGCCCCTGGTATTCGACTCCCCCCTAATTCCTTTCACCGGTCGCTCTCTTTAGGGTTTCCAGGTAGATCAGCTCTTCTTCTTCGTCTTCTTCAAGGTAAAAGAAGAAATGAGGGACCGGACGAGTTTTGTTCGATTTAGTGTTCCGTATCTTTGTATTCTCGATCTCCGTGCCTTAGCTTTTGTTGGCGTTGAATGGTGCTTCGCGAATTCGTAGGGTTTGAGTTGAACGTAGGGTTTACGGTTTTCGATTTCAGTTGATTCCTTGCTTGAACAAGGTCAAAGTATTTTTTATGCAAGGAGTCATTGATTTCGGTTCACAGGGGACGGTTGAGCCTTCGGGGGTAACCTGCTGATTACGTCAACGACATCGGCGGGTGAGGAGCGATTCTCATTCTTGATTTCTTGATCTTCGAGGTGATTTCATCTTTGGATTGTTTAAATACCTTTCTCTTTATTTCCTAATGGTTGCTATTTTGTAATGTTTTTCCTTTTCCTGTTTCGTGTCCTGCTTTGGTATGAAGAACTTGTGTTGCCTGAGATTTTGACGGGTTGGTGATCGACGTTTCATGAGCCTGAAATTTGAGTTTCTTGCTTTTCGTAGTTAGCAGAATCCCTGCTAAAACTCTCTGTTGGTGCAGTTGAGAGCAGGCAATTTATGCTAAAGAAAATTGTCTGCGAAGCATTTGTCCTGCTTAAGTAAAAAGAGGGTTGAACTTGGCTTAGAAGCATGTTCTTCACAGTTTAAAGGTGGAGATAGCTTGAAGTTTCCTATGCCAAACCTTTTAGCTTGTGAAAGAGTGTTGGATGTAACTATGTCACCACTGAGAATCTTTAGTCAGTTTGATGCTTTGATATTCGGAACAAAAATTAAACTTAAAGAGCACTTCTTTTCCCTAAATCTTTGGTAATATTTTTACTGTTACATATTGCGTAGTCCTCAGTCTTTAGAGGGATTGGGGAGGAATTCACTACGTTATGGATGGTGAATAAAATTGCTTTCAATTATGTGATTCGCAATAATTACAATGTGCTATGGACGGTGATGTAACCAAGATTTTCTTTGACACACACTAGTCACCATCTATGAATAGCATTTGAACTCTTCTCTTGCGCTTTCTGTTCTCATGCTTCTTTATGTTGGATGGTCTGTTTACCTCTGTTTCTCTTGGTATCGGAAAGCCCATTTACTACCCAGATTAATTAAACGAAATATAACTTTTGATTTCCATGTCAGGAGCTTTTGGTGAATTGAACTTGTTAGCAGAAACCCTGGAAGTTCACCTTGATTTGACCTTTGAAGGTAAGATTACAGTATTGCTGGTGCAATTGGCAGTTAAGATGTTAGTACTTCAAAGTTTTCAAATTTCTGTAGGATGAAGTGCCTTTTGCTTGTAACCCTGTTGCTTCTTCACATGTTCCTTGTTTCTATCTCAGTCTAGCAACAGGATTCAAAAGCCGTTATGTCCATGAATAGTACTGAAGCTTCATTTTTTTATGTATAAATATATATTATTAAAAAGAAGTTTACTGTCTAATATGTCCTGACATGCACACCATGTATAAGTTATCTATAGCACTTCTACTGTCTCTAAGTAACTCAGTGGCAACTCGATTGCTGGTTTCTTTACCTTTTCTATGTCTGTGTCCATGCTTTTTTTATTTTTCCGAGTGGGTGGGTTGTAGAGAGTATCGTGGTTTTTGATGAAACCAAGTGAAGGAACGTTGAGGCGGAGATCCTGTCTAACTACCAAGAGAGAGGTGGAAGTCCCTACATTGTGACATATAAAGTACAATCTAAAGATTACAACGTTAGGCCTATGATGCCTGGAAACCAAGTGATGTTGTTTAAAAGAAACCTGCCCTAAGATCATGAAGGTGCATCAAGGCCACTGTTCTGTCTATAGTACTGTAGCTCTTCAAGTGCTTTCAGTATTTGTTTTTGTTAATGGAGGTTTTGCCATTTTGGAATGCTACTGTTGTCTTAGATATTTGAACACCCGTTAGAGCTTTCTAAACTGCTTGATTAAATATTTAAGCTCGGAAAAGCAGAGTTGAATTCGGCAGCAAAGCCAACATGAACCTTCTGATAGGACTTATATGTAGCTACAGATGTAGGTTATGGCATCCCATACATCAAGGGCTTTGTCTCTGCACAACCGGAATATAGAAGATAATTAGCAGGAGTGATGTAAGATTAAGAGTATATAGCCACTGAGCTTACCGATGAGTAAGAACCCATGTTTTGGACTCCTGGGACTGACTGTTGCTGATTTTGTTTATTCCTATAGTCTGCATATCACTTAAATTTTTTAAGACTATATTACTTATGCATAACAGCAGTGTTGTATTATATTCCAGTTTCTAGTTTGTGCAGTTCATACATCTGAAGGAAATTACGATTCATTATTTCTCTTTGTTTTTTGGCTGTCTGCAAGACTTTATAGAACAAGTTGTGTTCATATTGGAATTTTTTTTACATAATATGCTCGTGCTGTAGCTACTGGCTACTTCCACCATCGCTGTCCTTGTGATTGATTTACAAATGACATGAGTGTAAACTATTGATTACTAATTAAAATTTGTCATCTTCGTATCTGTTTTGCCAGTTGTCTGGCACAGTTCTGTAGTGGAAACTTAAGAGCCTGTGGCCATGGAACAGTTGACGCAGCCGTCTTCACCTGTCATTGGAGTTGTTTCTGGTGCTGCCCAAATAGCATATGCTGCACCCATAATGCAACCAGCAGCACTGGTCACTGGAGCTCCAGCAGTATCAGGAGCTATACCTCCCGCAGCACAACTGACCATAGCATATCCTACTAACCCAGGCAATATTGCAAGCCAGCACCAGATTGCCTACCAGCAGGTCCCGCAGTTCCATCACGAGCTTCAGCAACAGCTTCAAGCCTTCCGGTCCGACCAGATGTTGGAGATAGAAGAAACTACTGATTTCAAGAACCATAGCCTACCGCTTGCCCGAATAAAAAAGATCATGAAGGCCGACGAGGATGTTCGTATGATCTCTGCTGAGGTCCCTGTGGTCTTTGCCAAGGCGTGTGAAATGTTTATATTGGAACTGACGCTCCGGTCTTGGATCCACACCGAAGAGAATAAGAGGAGAACGCTGCAGAAGAACGATATCGCCGCCGCCATTACCAACGCTGACATGTTTGACTTTTTGGTTGATATAATCCCTAGGGATGAGTTTAAGGATGAGGGCTTTGGTATCGCAGGGGCTGCATTCCCTGCTGTAGGCGGTCCTGCGAATTCAGTACCTTACTGCTTCGTCTCGGCACCGCAGGTGCCCGACCCTGCAATGACGATGGGGAAGCCTGTAGATCAGACTGCTGCTGCAACTTTATATGCTGTTCAGCAGCCACATTCAGTGGCTTACATGTGGCAGCTGCCAGAAATGCAGCCGGGACAGCAGGTGCCGGAAAGTGAGTAAGCCAATGTGTGTTTTGCGGATCGTTGGAGTTGTTAGAAGAATGTCCAATGGAATATGATTGCTGTTAGTAGAACATGAAGGAAGTTTGCCTGTTGCTGAAGCAGCAATGGACTGTGTTGCGTGCCAAGATGAAAGGAGCACGGCTTTGTGATGCTTTGCTTTTCTTTGCTGTGATTTTGTGGTGCTTTTCTCTGTTTGCGGCCCGTGCTTTTTGTGATCGGGAATCGACCGTCTTACCTGACCGGCCATAAAGCAAACGATTCGATGGACTTCAATTGTTTTTACCTGGCCATAAATCCTTTCATATTTAGGTTACAAAGGAATCATCCCTGTAGGCTTTAGCTTCTTGCATGTGAAGAAATGCCTGACTAACTTCTATTGCATTTAGGTCCTCAAGGAGACATCTGAGTTGTTGAAGCGCAGCTAAGAGGTTTAAGGGTTAGATAGAGGTGCTGTTGTAAGTGCCCTGTGCCTTCATCTCCGTGCATTTATCTCAGTGCTCTCTCTCATCACCTCTCTTATAATATACTTTTCATACACATATCATAATCATACAACAAAATGTAACACAAACCATTAAATACATTAACGTGAATGGAGACTAAAAAAGTCAATAGGGCAGAGAGACCGAGGAGGGGAGGAGGAGGAGATCAAACTCCGCAGCTAAATAATACTGGAAACCCTCCTCTAAAAGAGCCAGTGCTTTCTTTTTGGTGCCCGTGTTGGAAGATCTGCCAAGTAAACACCTTAGTCTCAGATTCGTGTAATATATCCACATGCAGTAGAAAGTAGAGAGGATCGAGACATTGAGATTTACCATCAGCTTCATACAAGGAATTGTAGTGTACTTCACTCCAAAAGCTCAGCCATAGTTCTGGAATGCAACGATCCATTAGGGCGAGCAACAAGTGCATACAACAAAAGGCATTCCTAACATGTGTTTTATGCAAAAGAAGAAGAAGAAGAATTCCTTAAGTTTCCCTAAGAAATGTCAATGCCTTGACTGAATTGTTACTACAGATTCTTGAGAGCTCAGCTAAAGCCGTCACCTCCATCTTTCTGTGCAGTAGATATTTGGAGGCTGGCATATGAGGGATCCAGTAGCAATAAGCTAGTAGTTATCATTAGTAGGTACAAGCATCTTCATAATTGGTGTCACAGCTTGCTAACCGACCTGGCGATCCTGTCCTATGAATTTTCCATTGCAGGTGCTCGGTAATCATCCATCATTGTCATTAATATTCTCCATCTTGCACATACCACATTGTGAAGTGCATTAACTTAAGTTTCTAGTTGGGGCTAAGTTCTGTTTATCCATCAACGGTATCAATATTCACCACCTAGCCCTACTATCTTATGATGTGTATTGCCTTGATAATACTAATAATCCATTTCTTTGCAAGCGATCACTAAAAGAAACAATTTCTTGATTCAAAGGCAATGTAATCATGAAGCTTCTTTGTCTTTCTGTTCTTAGCGTACCAAGTGAAAGAAACCCATCATCTGTCTCAGCATTGCGAACGAAAACTTCACAATACCATGATGTTGTAGTTGTACTTATATGACATTAAAAACCGATGCAGAAACTTCATACATTTACAAAAAAATTAATGATAACAAATTTAAAAAGTAACCTATGTGGGGAAATTAAGAAGACGCAAAAATATATAGGTTACAGTGCTCTTTCAAAATTATTGATAAAATACAGACATCTGCATTCCAATCATTTACTTACAAAACCACATTAATTATTTTGCATAATATTCTTAGTGTGCAGATGAGGACTAAAAAATATAGATAAAGCCATGCACGTTCCAGTTTCATTGAAAAAAACATAAATTAAAATAAAGGTTCATTCAGAAGTATTTTATAAGTTGTTTAACAGCTTGAAGTCACAGCCCTTAGGATTAAAGAACCATGAGATTTTGCAACAAATATGAAATGTTATACTGGAAATCTGTATGAAACATTCTTTACCTCTTGTTGGAGATTGATCCTTAGGATTAATTTCAATAAAGCAAGTATCTCTGAAGGATGTTAGCAGACAAATTTTTGCACCAAACTGCCAAAAATAACAAGCTCTCAGAAAATAGCAACATGAAGTTCTCTGGAATTTCATATTATTTAAAATTATCACTACATGTTTTATAGCTGCTCATATCGTCAAAATATGTAAATTTTAAGATGATGACACGTAGTTCGAACCATATGTGTATTAGCTTGTTCTAAATCAGGAAACTGGGAATAGTTCAAGATTACCCGGTCTGCAGCTGCTTGCAAGGTTAAGTGATCTCCCCATTCTCCAGACCTGAACTCATATAACAATTTGCAAAAGCAAAGGTTATAGTCGGTAACGGTGACAAACATAGACAAATGAAGCATAGAGGAAAACAAGATTAATAAACCAAACCTTTTCATGTTTTTTAAGTATGTCTTGTATTCCATGGGAACATAACTTTCATAATAATTCTTGAATTGTTTAAGCTGAGAAGGTAAAAAACAGAGTTAGTGAAGCATATTACCATTTTATTAGGATGGAAAAAGAAAGGGGCTCATCATCCTGTAAATTTAACAATTACAACCACTAAAGGAAACGACTTCTAGTGATATTAACATGGAATCTCTTCTACAGCAAGAGCGACAGTCACCAGTTGAAGCCCATGTAGGTTAGTGCAGCATATAATCATCGACGATGATATGCCAAGGCTATGCTCGACACGAACAATATACGTGACGTGATCCCCTTTTTCACATTGATATCTGACCTAAAAACTGGTGTTGTTCCAGTTGTCAAACAAAATCACTTGTTTTATTACTCCCTATGGACAAAATACCTAGACTGCAATTGAGCTGGATTCTTGTTTAAAACTAAAGATCAAGTCATTATTTTCCCAAAGTTCTGGACCAGATAGTTCAGAAACAACAGATCTGTAGCCATTTCATTAAGAACCTTGATACCTTTTGTAACTAGATTTTGGCCCCTTATGATGATCTTTAGCAATAGCATGATGTGTTCTTTTTGGCATTGTTCACCAGTAAAGGTTACTTTTGAAATTTGCTATTTAAGAATTCAATTAACAAACATACTCATCATAGCTTGAATGATCATATGACATCCATGTCATCTGCACAAACTGAATATCAACATATTCCCAAAATTGAAACAACTGCAATCATTAGATTGGTTCTTCTCATAACTATTCTACAAAACTATTAACTTTAACCAGAAGAAGAAAATTCTCGAGTCTCCTTTCCAATAACCAAACAAGAAAATAGCAAATTCAATATATGTATGATTTGAGCATCAATGTTCACTTTTAGAAGCTATACACTTCATCTTATTCGTTGAACAGGCAATTCATCAAGAAGAAAACTTCAGGTTTTATGCAGAAGCATTAACTTTAAGTAAATATACCAACAACAGTAAACAGGTGATTACTATCAACTTGAAATCATCAAGAATTAGATGATGTTAAGGCAAAAGGTCATTACCGTCCAAAAAAGTATAAGATTACAAGATTCAAGTAATCTGGCCTTTTATTATCTTGAATCCAAAGAAATTTGCATCTTCCTTTGAAATTTCACAAAAGAGTTCTTGTGCAGTGTAGAAATCACCAGTAAGTAAAACTTCAAAATTGCCAACATCTAATCAAAGTGGCACTCTTAGAAGGATTCTTTAAATTGGAACTTAAAAAGCCAGACCACTACATAAAAATTACTAGAAACAGTAGAAGATAATGTTGGCTCCAATATTGCAGTTCGACATCAGTGCCGTTGCTTTTTGTTTCTCACACAAAGCTGACTATATCAACAAGTAAACACCATACTCTTGAAAATATATACATTTTTAAAATTTTATATGTGCCCACCCACTCTTAATTTGACTGGATCCTCAAAAATTTGCAAATCTCATAGATACCTTTTTAAGTCTACAAACTTTCATGAATAAGCTTGTAAATATCATAAATATTAAATACCCTTCTAAAGTTGAACAAACTTCATGAACACCTTTACAGATTTCAAATAATTTAAAAATACAAGTGCAACCACAATATTTGCAACTTCCGAGGGGCATATATGAAAAACTTCACATATTTTTTTGAAGGATATGCACAAAATTGCCCCTATTATTTTCATTGTCAAATGGCTAGTAATGCCATACACTTGCAAATGTTGCAGCCAGGTATTAAATGGAAAATGAAGAAAATAACTTTGACTTTAACAATAACAATTTTTTGGTCAAAACATCAAAGCAAGATTTTTAATCTCATAATGTACCGGTATGGTATAGTACCGACGTATCAAGCGGTACACCTAAAATAGACATAAAACCCTTTGAAATTATCTGAAAAATAAAAAAAAAGTTAGGATAGAATTTTTACGTTAGAAATTAATATACATTTAGTATAGTTTTAGCAAAACTAATGTAAATTTGATAAGAATAGTGTCACATATCTTTTTCGAACTTTGAGGAGTAGTCTTGTGTAAGATTCGCAATTTCAGTCTGTTCCGAATCATCCTCCGTTAATATTGAATTATCTATAGAAAAATTATTTGAATTATTATATTATTTTGTATACAAGTTAAACCTTAAGATTCAAATGAATTAAGTAATCATATGTATAGATATAGCTAATTTTATCACCAAAACGAACGATGGACCTTCACGGGTGATGGATCAAGATCCTCAATCCTATGTATCTGTATATCAATATGATATGTTTATCGGACTCAATCCTGAAATTGATCACACGACATAGTGTATTAATACACTGTATGTCATTGGTGTATTAATGTGGTGATGATCGTGCTAGTTACAAGTGCTCTGTAAGCCAATTACATGAGTGGTGACACGTGTGATACACTGCACAATCTCTTTTGGTTAATATTAATAATGATATTTTCTCACTTTATATTATATAATTAATATATTATGATATCCTTGAATCTGTGTAATGGGAATTGGATTATAATGAAATCATGATAATGAGACTAATTCGTCTTTAAACATAGATCCTAAATATTTCTGGTCATAAGTTACTCGAGAAGGACATCGAGATAACCGGACAAACCGGTGTACTATATACCCGTTTATATGATGGAGGCAGCTGGTCTCATAGTTGCTTGTGTGGGGACATTAGGGATATAGTATAGGTGCTCATTGGAGAATGAGTTTATTGAATGATCTGCTTACAGAATGTTGGATGGTTAATGATACATTATCGCCCGACAATGATTTCGTAGTCTCAATTGTGTTTCTGGTCCTTAGACTTCAGACGCTAAGGATACCTTGTTCGAATACTCCGTTCTTTGACACCGCACTTATATGTCTGGAAGTTTCAGATCTAGTACAAACGATTATTGGGAATGACAGTCAATCTTACGAAGGCAATTAAGTGTCAATAAAGGATCATCTACTCTTGGTATCATGAGAGGAATATCCTGTGTGTTCTCACTTAAGCAAATCCTTAACAAGAGTTACTCGGATTGAGAGAGAAAGAGTTCTCTGGGAGAATCCAATAAGAGTGAGACTCGGATGGATTTCGTATAGGCCTGACAGCACCATGTCCGGCATACGGTTTCCGGGATATTAGATGGATGAGGGACTATAGATACATGATCATTGAGTGCATATATGTCCAATGGATTAGATCCCCTTGTATCGTCTAGGAACTACGTAGTGGTCTAGTACGTCCATAGTCGATAAGTTGAGTGAATTATTATGGGGATAATAACTCACTGAGTCAGAAGGAGTTCTGACGGGTGCAACTCATTGCCAGCTCGGTATTGGGCTTAGAGGCCCATACACATATGGTGGATGACGCGACAAATAGAGAATTGGATATGAGATATCCAATAAGCTTATGTTTTAATGGATCTATTAGGTGAGACCCAATAAAGCTTGGAGTGGTTATTGGATGGGGATTCAATATCCATTAAACCAGTGATTATTGGATAGGGATGCAATAACCACTAAGAAAGATCCATTAGGGTTAGCAAGAGGGGTTCTCTATAAATAGGAGTGGGGCTCAAAGGATCATAGGCTAGACCCTTATAGTCGTCGACCTCCTATCTCCTCCTCTCCCTTATGTGAGCCTCCCTGGTGTGAGAGGACAGCAAGAGGGGCTGACCCCCTCTCTTGATTGCTGCTGCGTAGTGGTGCGCGATCACGAGGAGAGAACCCGCTGCGCAAGAAGGAGCGTTGTCGCTGCGTCTGCTGTGTGGATTACCACTAGAGAGGAGTTTGCAAGAGCTCTTTCATCCCACGGACCATGATCTGCGATTTAGGGGATATACGATCTCCCCTAGGTGAAAACGTCTTGATGTGGTTTTATCGCTTTGAGTTTTATGCTCTCGGCTGTTGCCCGACGATCCAATAATATCTATTTTGGGAACGGTTTTGTTTTTATTTTCCGTTGCGCATGTGATGCTCCCCTAAGGTTTCCCAACAAGTGTCGTTGGTTGATTGTCGTGAATCTATAAATCATTGCTTTGTTGAGTTTAGGAGAGTGAAAATATAAGAATAAGAGAGAGTGTGTGAGTAAAAATGAGTTTAACAGTTTAAGAGATTGCGAGTAAAAGAGAGCTTAAGAGAGTGAAATGAATTGAAAGAGGGGGAGGGGGGAGGATTTAAAAACTCTTTAGGATGCCTACAACGGTCAAATTGACCGTTTGAAAACCGTTATCAATCGGTAATGGTCAATTTCGACCGGTACCGCTCGGTAAAGCCCCGTATTGCCCGATATGGGGCCAAAAATATGATACCGAGTGATAGCGGATGGTCCGTGTGCCCACAGGCCGACGGACTAGTACGTACTGCCCGGTATGGTACGAAATTAAAAACCCTGATTTTCATACTAAGAATACACATCGAATCCATACATATATCTTGGCAATCCTACCGACACCAAAATGAAAGTAGAGAATAGATAAAAGTTAACCAATACAAAGCTTTTGTTTGAAATTTTATATTCTCAGATAATTGTTAAAAAAGAAACGAGGAGGAAAAGCAAATAGAGAAGACAAGAAGCACACCTGCTTTACAACTGTCTTTCTCACATGCCTATGATACTCAGGATTGTGGAAAAGCTGATCTGCTACTGCTCGAAACTGTTTTATCAAAAATTGAAATAACAAACAAAGAATTCAATCATCAAACAGCATCATAGTTATCATGTATTAACATGGTTCAATGTTACGGACCTGGCAATTTCCATCTCCTTCAATTTGTAATTCAGCTAAACCATACATGGCCAATCTGATAAAGAGAACCTCGGTCAATAATGTTATAAGGAAAAAATAATATAAGTCCATATGCAAGAACCACATGGAGGTAGGACAAGATGCTCCCACCATATGATGTGTTAAACATTAGGACAATTATTGTCTTGTTTGAGCATAAGAATACTGGTACAACTTTCCATCAAAGATGCAGAAATGCATCATAAAATTTGAAAGATCATTCAATATATATTTGTCTCAACTTTTAACAATATAATCAATTTATCTTTTTTTTTTCTGTATCATGAGCTCAGTACCAAAAGGTACTAAAAAGAAAGCGAAAAACAATGGGTTTTGTACCTCAGTAAGTAGATATTAGTTGAATTAAGCAGTGGTTTCGGAAAAAACAAGCAGGAGAGGGAAAAAGGCCCAGACAATAGGAGCATATAGATGTGAAGCTGGTTTATATGAAAGAAGAGGCAGCATTTTTATCTGATCTCAGGCTTAAATAAACAGGTGTTCACATATTTTGTCAGGGAAACAGCAGAAAGAAGTTCTCTGGATGCAGTTGATAATTCCCTTCAAGGACAGAGTAGAGAGAAGAAATAATAGAGGAAAAAAGTAGATGAGGAAAATAAATATATGAACAGTAGATAACAACAGTAACAAAGGCCTGTGGCCAAAAAAGTCTCACTTCCATTCACAAACCACAGAATACTCATGACAGCACCTCATGATCCATCGTTTGTAAACTTCACTTAATCAACACTTTCATACTGAAATTAGGACTCCTAGTCTCTGTTTAAAAGTTCCTTTTGGCTCGTATCATCTAGACACACAATAACCTACAAAAGAGTCTCGAGTGACTTCTAAAACAGACTATCCAACATAAGTGAAATTAGCACTTTCCTGAAACCTAGATTGAACAGAACTGGTGCAATGCTCTATTCAGTATGATAAATAATTCCAAAACTACTGCTAGTAAATCTTTGAATAACAATGATGTATTGGATTGTTCAACAAATCAAAATTTATATGTGAAATAGAAAATTACACAATGTTTTAACTTTTAATTGACCTTTCCAACCAGATTTTACTCCAATTTCGGAGAGGTAAAGGCCTCCTGAGGATCTATTCTAAAGAGACAATAACTATATTTTCCACAAAGAACAAGTGCAAGTCATGATGAAAAGAGATATTCTAGCTCCCATGTATAGGCTGCTGAACTCAATAAACTAAGGAAAATATGAAAAAGGGTTGCCATGCAAAATAAACATTTTTTTCTCATACACACATCAGCAACTTGTTTCTTTTTCCGATGCCTGCGACTCAATTCATTTATATGACAGAATTTTTATTCCCTCTAATTTCTTTTCATCAGCTTTCTCCTGCAGTCAATTATCTTGCGTTAGGCAGGTTATTGAATATTCATCATTGAATTGGTGGAGTGAGTCTTCTCTATTGAAAGGTATCAATCATGATGAGACTGGAATCCATTCAAGTCACTTAATTACAACATAATATAATAATTTCATAATAGAAAGCTTCTGCATATTCAAGAGTAGATTATTGATCTTCTTAAAGTTCAGTCAAGAACTCAACCAACCAGTTGGACTTGTTGTAGCAAGTTTACAAAATATCAGGAGTGAATACCGTGTAGTTAATGATGTGAAAGAAAAGAAAACTAAGCACACAGTACATTATAATATATATGTGTGTGTGTGTGTGTGTGTGTGTGTGTGTGTGTATTATGCATCAATACCTTTCTGATAACCTTTCATGATCCAATGTTGCATTATCGACATCAGGAATTTGTCCATTCACCCGAGGGGTATGCTGTCCAGTAACAAAAACATACAGGCTATGCATCACCATTCAGAAGTTAGCATTACAGAAAACAAATGCAAAATAGTATATACAAGTTAATAAAACAATACTAGATATGCAGATAAAAAATTTCCCTCCAGCTTAAATTCTAATGACAGAATGTGCAGAATGAAATAAGTTTTCTGACATAAGCGACACATAAGCAGCAAAATATCTCAACCATTAGCAACATTATTATCAAAGGAATAGCAGAAACCAAGAGCGGTTTATGGAGAGAGATGAAGAAAAGGAGAAGATTATGGCATAGCATTTTACAGTTGCAAATCCACTGGGAAATATATATATATATATATATATATATATATATATATATATATATATATATATATATATATATATATATATATATATATATATATAT